TCAGTGTGGCTGGCTCTTGGACAATGTATGGAGAGCTGTGTAGTTCTATTTCTTTTACTGCAGGTCCTTGCCGCCCCGCTGCAACCGCTTTCTCACTACAGTTTAAATAGTGCTCTTCGGGGCACACCTGTGTTTCTGCTGAATTTCCTTTGCTTGCTTGCATGTTGATGTGTACTTATGTCTACCCAAGCTACAGTTGTGTACACGTGCATCCAGCCAACTGCCAGTAATGGGCAAATGCATTGAGCGGTGACTGTTAGCTGATGCCCACTGTCATAATCACTTGCCTTTATCATCCTCTGTGCAATTTTCTTCCTAGCCAACTGTCTCCCTCTCAGTATTAGTGAATATCTATACTGACACATATAGTCTTGATTGTATATGTAGTCTGAGCAATTTTCGTATGTGATTGCTCTCTATATGTAAGTCCGTTTGGTTTGTGCAAGTCTGAAGAAACTTTGTGCTCTCCCTTTGTGCTCTCTGTATTGTATATACCAGAATCTCCAGTGTGTGTCTACATTTGCTGCTACATGTATGTGGGAGGGGCTGCCTCTCTTTTTGCCTCCTGACCACTACCCTTGTCTTGTCCTTGTATGAGTGTGTGCCATGTACAATGGAGCCATTGTTCAGTTAGCTCTCTCCCCCTTGCCCTGTGGCTGTGTGGGCCAATCTATTATCTCCTGTGGGCCTCAATACCCCACATCAATGCCTACCATTTGTATCCAGTATACAACAGGTGCACTGGACTAACTGCACCTTCAGCTACACACACACAGAGTGTATTACTTTGGGCACTGCAGCGGTCAGCTCTACATCACCTTTATCAGCGTCACTAAGCTTGCACAATTTCTAAAAGACTTTTGTTGATAGATGGTTGCAGCTGGGTGACTCTGTAAGATGTTGCTTGCAGTGTCACAAGATTGCCCAAAGCAGCTCTTTCAAAGTGTTATCGTGGGTTTAGTTGGCTCTGCTTTTCTTTCAGTATTTTTCAGCTCCACCAACATTTACACGCGCTACATCATAGTTGCAACCTTTCCCTCGGCTTTATAAAGAAGGAAAATATCATACTGCAAAAAAAACTTTCGTGCATTAAGTGTAGCCACCTGTGAAGAGGTGTTGACTCAAGAGCATGTGGTGTTGTGGCTAAAGGCGGGGGAAGGAAAGGGGAAGCTATAGACTGGGAGGGTATGCAACACCTTATACCGAGCTGCAACTTTATGTGTGTGTGTGTGTGTGTGTGTGTGTGTGTGTGTGTGTGTGTTGTGTGTGAAGAGAGAGAGGGGCATGTGCTATTGGCGTAATTATTGGGGAGGGTGGAGGTTAAACTCTATACCAAGACCAAATTAATACTTTTTCTTACCATTGGAACCCATGACAATTCACAGTCTAGGCAGGGAGAGTGCTTTACTCAGCTCAAAAGGCAGGGCTAAGTTCTATACAACACAAGACAGAGCCAAACCTCATGGGCACATATAGCTATAATTTTAGTATGCTGGTGGGTTGGCTCTAGGACTGTTCTAGACTTGTCAGGTGTTTATGTAGAGAGAAGATTTCCAGTTTGCTACGAAAACCTTTCTCCAAACACTGCTGTGTGCTGTTTGTTGGTGTATACATATACCTGTCTCTTTCACCCCATGTCATGTGACTGCCGTTTGCATACTCTGCAAGTGGCTCCACAAGGATATTTTTGTGTATACCTACGCAATCCTTTCACAGTCATGCTGTGTGCTGTACATACCATATGTGTACTCATACAGTGCATTTACACATGTCTTTGACACTGAAAGGAACACGTTTAACAAGTATGGCACTTGTAGCCTTGTTCTAATGATGGAAGGTTTCAAGGCTGGGGCTGTTTTTATTGGGTGTTGCTGCACATGTGTTTGGTCTTGGATATTTCTCCTATTTCTTGAGGAGTGTTTATCTTAAGGTGTACTGTTTTATCGTTATGTATGAAAATGGATGTCCCTATATCATATGGTGTGATTGAGGTCCATGTCACATGCTATCAAATACACTATCACTTGTTGCCTTTTGTATATACCTAACGTATTATGAGTTGAGTCTCTGCTGTTCTTGAGGGCACACAAAATCCTGAGTCTCTTGCTGTACTGCAAGGTGTGACTTTGTAAAGCTGCTGCTTTTTTGCGCATGCTAGGCCCCGCCTCGTTAGCAGCAGCTCCGCCCCCTCCATGTGCACTTTGACCTCCGTAAGCAGCTGCATCTTGAGAGGTGTAGCTGGTTGTTCTAGCGGTGGTGTAGGCACTGGCATCTTGCCAGGCGCGTGACTTGCCATGTTTATCTCCAATCATCCTGTGCAGACTAGTGCACATACATACAGTATACATAACAGTACATAATTATAAAATCTGGAAATATACAGCCTCTGCGTGGCTAGGGATGCACACGCGCTGTCGCGAATGCAGCAAAACGTGGCCTTGTGGCGAAGCCAGCCTTTCTAAAGACCATCTCTTGTCAAGAGTCAAACTCAGCCATCGTGACTGAAAGTCAAGCGCACTACGCATAGAGACTACAACTCCCGGACAAAAGCTGGTCCTCCACAATCCTTTAGTTGTCGTGTACGGGGTCAATACAGCCCAATGTGACCCGGTACAGTATCATAAACAATGCCTATCACACCTGGTGTTCATTTACATTCAGAAACTCGGTATATTATAGGTCTGCATCTGTGTGCGCACACAGCCCACATAGATAGTAACACACGTAGCTCCTCAAATGCCATGTAGCGTGATTGAACCCTAAAAGTGTGGGGAATTCAAAACACTCGTTCTGTGGACATTTGAGCTGCCTTAGCTCATAACAGCTCAATAGCCTGCTGTACAGACTATGAGATCCTCCCATCTCACAGTTTTGTAGGGAAACATGTGTACAGCAGGAGAAACTTGAGGGTGTAGCTAGCTACAGCTACTGCATAGTACATATGGACAGTGTTGTTGTATGTGCATAGGTGTATTATAGAGCTGGCTGGAGAGCAGCATTCCACTCATAAGAGTGATTGGCTTATTCCTATTGTGTCCTGGGCCGGGAGCCAACTGGGAGCCCCGGCCAGACTGCAGGACTGGACTAATGTGGGGCGTTGGTCTTGTCTTTCCATTAGTTCCATGTGCTGGGGGATAGGGTAAGTGGCTTAGCGTGTTCAGATAGTTGGCCTCGGCTGCATTCCGACATGTGTGCTCTGTACACAAAAGTGGCCACCTCCTAACCCCTTCCATGTGCTCACTGCTCTCTGTTATTGTTTGCGTAATACACCTTCTGATATACAGTGGTACCCTTCTAATCCAGACACCACAATGGGACTGAGTAAAGTGTCCATATTAGTGAGCTGTCCGGGTTAGCAAGAATTGTTAGAAACAAAAAGTGAGAGGTGTAGGGAGATAGGAGTCCTACTGTACACCAAAGGGCTGCTGGCACTGCAGTATAAAGTGTGGTTGACTGGAATTGTCCTGGACAGCATGGGCCAGGCAGCCATGCCCACCCGGTAGCTGGGAAGCAAGCCAAATGGCTAACACCTGCAGCAATTCCCCCTAGTTACCCTTCAGCCCTTTCTGGGTGCCCTGTACACAGGGTGGCTTCTTTGCACTTCTGGGACTTCTGTGTGTATATGTAGTGCCAGGATCAACAGTATGGGGCCAACAGTATGGGGCAAACGGAAGTTAGCGGTTGTAAGGATTTATGGGTGGGGCACCTATGGGACCGCACTATCAGTGACATAAGGCTATGCTCTATTGCACTGAGTGGTGTGTGCCCCTCCCAGCTTGCCTATATAGTACATACTACTCTGCTCCATGCTCTGTTGAAATGAAGGTGTAGCTGGAGTGGGTCAGTTTGTTTTGCACGAGGCCCAAGTTACAACTCAGTGGGAGAAGAATGCCATGTTTGGTGAGGGGAAGGGCTGCCTCAAGGTGTGCAGCTATATTTCTGCTGTTTTTTCCCGCCACACAAGCACTGCTTTGAAGCTGTTTACAGTAACCAGATACACAGGTAGAGTTAAACATACTACGTCCTTTGATAATACACACAGGACACTTTATGTGGGAACATACACGATAAGATTTGTAGACATGCCCAGTCCACAAACAGTTATATCACTAAGTAATGGGGATGTCCAGCATCATCCCCATATATTTTAGATTTTTACTTCCACTTTTAGATATTCCAAGTGTATACACAGAAAGAGAAAGAAACGTAATGTCAAACTCCCGGCATCTTGACTGGAAGTCTGGTACAGTAGGCAGGCAAAGCTGCTCTTTCCCGTTCCCTCTAGTATACACATCCAGCTGTCGTGTGTTGCCTGTCTAGCAACCTAGCACTGGCAGCTTTAGCCACCATATCTTGTGTACACCATGTGCCAAGCAGCACTCTTCTGTTGTGCACCGAAACTTTGTGTCTCCATTATAAAAGTGTGCACCCACCCAACTGCATGTTTTCTGGTCAGCCCGGCTGGTTATCTGTATGGCCTGTGTACACACCGTCCTGGCGACCAGAGATTTTCGGGAGATAACAGCACAATAGGAATTGTGTGTACTTTGGATGTGGACTGAGTTATCGCATCAAATTTACCGTGCAAAAATAACTTGCAGCAGCTACTCCTCTTTCGGTTGTGGGTGTTTGGGGGGAAAAGGGGCTGGGCAGAAAGTGTGGCCCTTTTAGAGATTTTAGAGCAAAGTATATAGTGAAACCATCCAATCAGGACACTAACAAGCACAGAAGGCTCCTAATTTGTTATTTAAGGGGTTAATGTATGTTTTGGGGAAAGACAAAGTGTTTTCATTTCAAAGGGCTATAGAACCTCTTTTCACTAATTACCTCACTCACTTCTTCCCTCCCTCTCTTTCCCCTTGATCCTTCCTCCCTCCCTCCCTCCCTCCCTCCCTCCAGATCGACTCAACTGGTGGACTCACTCGGGGAAGTTCCCCCGACTCGAACCCCTAGCAACGTCGGGCGACGGCAACTGTCTCCTCCATGCGGCATCTCTCTACATGTGGGGCTTCCACGACCGATTTCTACTCCTGCGAACGTCCATGCACCGTCTCCTCACACAGAGCAGGGAGTGCAGCGGGATACAGAGTCGCTGGCGCTACCAGACCCAGCTGAGGAACGACGAAGCCGGTGGGCTCACTTTCTCAGAGGACGAGTGGGCCATTGAGTGGTCAGAGGTCGTGCGGATTGCCACAAACAGACCTCGTGAGCAGGCGGCATTGGAACACCAACGCAAGAGTTCGCTGAGACTCAGCTTCGAGTACTTGGAAGAGATTCACATCTTTGCACTGGCGCACGTGACGCAGCGGCCCATCATTGTGGTTGCCGACACCACACTCAAGGGGGTATCGGGCGAAGACCTGGCACCGATCTACTTTGGCGGGGTGTACCTCCCGCTCGAGATGAACCCCACTGCATGTCACAAGTCCCCCGTGGTCCTAGCGTACGACGCAGCCCACTTTTCTGCACTGGTAGCCAAAGAGGAAAAACCACAGCAGCAGTCACACATTGGTTTCAGACAAACGAAAGTGCTTCAAGGTCGCGGGGATAGAAAGCGGGAGGAGCCTGTTGTTCCACTAGTGGGACCTGATGGGCGCCTGCTCCCCATTCAGTTTGTGTACAATCCCAAGAACCCCACTGTTCGAGAGAAATGGGGCCAGATGAAGTACGAGAGGGGAGAATTTCCACCCGAACTCATCAGGCTTTTGGAGAGCTACCTCAAAATTCGATGGGTTAAGCTCCCTGTTTTGCCACCAGCCACTACCGAGTCATCGTCAACGGAGGACTACGATCATCTTGCTTCCAGACACGATACTATTCGGTGCCCCGCTGCACACTTGGGTCCGGAAACACAGCCCGTGTACCAGAAAGACCTCATTGACATGTACCTGGCAAACGTCCAGGAGCGATTCGAGGAAGAGAAACGACGCTGCCAGCGTGTAGCGGAAGAGAGAGAGAGGCAGGTGCAGCTGGAAGAAGAGGCGCGACTGAGACAGCCCGTACCCTGCAAGGGCCCTGGTTGCGAGATGTACGGTACACTCAGCTCTGGCGGGCTCTGCTCCGTGTGTTACCAGAAGAGTCTAGCTCCGGAAAGCGACGAAAGCGAGACTGAGAAGGTAGACCTAGCAATGGATCCTCGAGAACTAGACAACGAAACTGTGGAGTTGTACATCCCAAGGATCGAGCACCACCCACCGTCTTACGAAACCGCTACGGGAGGTGGTGAATTGTGGGAGAGAGGGGGAGAGGGGGAGGGTGTGGGAATGAATGGCCAACAAAACAGCCTGGAAGGTTTATCCAACGGCCTTGCCAATTCAGACTCTTCGAGTACAGGGGCACCTCTATCAAAGTGGGACCCTTCGCCACAACTACTACCGTCCCCCAACACGGCGGAGGTCACGGGGAGTGGGGGGCATCAACAGGACACTCTCGGCTACTCCTCCTCCGGCACCAGTCTGCACAGCTCGGCCAGCGAGGGGTCGAGAGGTGGCGGAGGGGGGGACAAGTCACCCAAGAAATCGAGGGGAGGCTGGGTGAAGAAAAAGCTCCAGGCGCTACCCGGAGGACTGAGAGCCAAGCCTAAAAAACCCGGGCAGGCACAGGACAAAGTCCAGCCTATTAGCTACGCCAAAACATCTTCAGACTGTAGAAACGGAGGCTGTGAGTTCTCCAGTAGTCCGAACTGTGATGGGTACTGTTCAACGTGCTACAAGGCTAGTAAAAGCATTGCCACAACTTTAGTATGACCACTCATCTCATCTCGTACATAATCATTGTTATATATAGCACGAGCATAGAATTTGTTTCCTTGTCAGTCATTTTTAAACCATGGTGTATGTGTGTTGTATTTTGTACTTGTCCGTGATAGCATTGGATCAGAAAACAAACCAACAGTGAAATTGAAACCTCTTAGAACGTAGGTTAGTTTACAAAAACAAAAAAATGTGTTGCTTACATGTGCAGCATAGTTCAGCATCAAAGCTATTGTGGTACAGACATGCATGAATGACGCTATACGTTTGAAGTATTTAGCAATTGGTGATAGTTAGAAATTGAGCACAAAAATGATTACAGGTTGATTTCTGTTGGTGATGATGATGCATGCAATAATGAATGCTGTTATAATGGAAGGGAGACAATTTCTAAGTCATTAACAAAATGTTTGACATAGGTGGAGGTAGACGATACAAACATGAGATTATGAATCTACATCTGCGGTCACAGTTTGCGGTTTTCGTGGTGCGTGAATACCACGTACACAAGGGATTGAGGGGGTTATGAATAGACAAAAATATGAAAGACACGAATTATAGCATAGCACGTGTGGGCAAGAGTGCCACGGCGTTTAGGGAACAGCTTATGAATGGTGTGGATGTTCACCTTGTTGTGTATGGTGTTCAATGTCTTGTCTTACTCAGGCCTCGGTTGGGTGGCTTGTAGGCAAAGCAATTGGCATTGGGGCTGTAGTGGCTTCTTGAAGGGAAGACGAAATCGTGGTTAGTGTGGGGACAATCGAGAACGGAATGGTTCCCGAGAAAGTGACGCCAGTTCCAGTACTGGGCAGAGCCTGCACGTGGACGATGCTCGGTTTCACGTCCCGGTGGTGGGCGCTAACTGGAACGCACAGCGGTTTTGGCTTGCTGGGGACGACAACGGGACTGGCTCCGCTGGCAGCAGCGTTAGAGGATAGCTGGAGATTAGCAGGGCCGCTGGAGGGCGGCGGGGACGGCTGCGTCTTGATCGCGATGCTCGGTACGCGCTGCTCCTCCGTAGTCAGCTGAGGAATGGCCAGCGTTGACGGCGGGAGAGAAGGGTGGGGCTCGGCCGCAGCAGAAATAGCTTGCATTTTGTCTCCGACCGTAACGTAGACCCCACTCTCGGCGACTTCCATTTGCATTTCCACGGCCGCGGCGTTGAGTTCGGCGGCCTCCTGGGCCGCGACGGAGTCGTTTTGTGTTTGTTGTTGTTGCTGCTGTTGTCCGTTGGTGAAACCTCCCCTGCCATTGGCAAGAGCGGTAGCAGCAACGCCCGCGGCTCGGGCGTGAGCAGCGGCGGCTCTGTTCCGATCGGCGAGCGGGTCTTTTCCCTTGGCACGGTTGGCGGCGTGGCGTTTCACGTGCTTGCTGAGGTGGTCGGAGCGCATGAAGCGTTTGTCGCACACCGGACAGGCAAACCTCTTCTCGCCAGTGTGTGTCCGGAAATGACGGGCCAGCTCGTCCGAACGGGCAAACCGCTTGAAGCAGCCGTCCCAGCTGCACGGGTAGGGTCGCTCGCCTGTGTGCGTACGGATGTGGGCCTTCAAGTGAGAGCTCTTTCCGTAGGCTTTCCCGCAGCCTTCCCAGGGGCAGATGTGCGTGCGTCTTTTCCCGTGTTTTCCGGTCGGTGCGGCCGCGTCTAGAGGGCTGTCCGGGCTCAGCGGGGTCCGCGGAACTTCTTGGCTCCCTTCATAGCTGTGCAGCAGCCCGGAGGACGAGGTAAAGGGAGAAATGCTGCTGGCCGCGCCCGAGCTGTCATCGCTGATGACGGACGAGTTGAGACTCGGGGTGTTGTTCGATGCGGCGTTTAGCAGAGACTCAATGTTCATGAACGATACGAGGTTAGGGCTAGCACTCTGCGGGGTCTTGGGCTGCTGTTGCTTCGCCTCGCTTCCATCGCTCGAGCCTTCTTCCCCGTGGCCGTTCGGCTGGATCGGCGGAGGTGCGTAGTTGGCAGCATCTTGCGGCTCTGCGATAGCCTGCGTAGGGATAACGGGCTGAATTACCAGTGAAAGCGAGTCCGGCTTGGCCGAGCCCGGGGTTGTGTTGGCTGACGACGGAGGAGTCGGTTCGGACGGGGTGACCAGGCGCTCCGCGGCGTTGACCGACAGGCAGGTGCGCGCGATCGTCTCCTGACTCAGGTTGGCGAGGACTTTGGCGACGAGGAAGAGGGCCGTGGACGAGTTGCCACCTCCTCCCTGTCCGCTCTCCTCGCTCGTCTGGGCCCTCGGCGGCTCGCTGCTGACGTTAATTGTCTGCAGTGTGTCGCCTGCGAGAAAGGCGGTGTGGCTCGTCTTGGGCGAGAAAGGGGGAGTGGGCCCGCTCTGAATGATTGCCTCGGTGGCCATCTCGGCTCGTCTCTCTGGTCCGATCGGGAAGGGATTCGATGTAGAAGCGGTTTCAAGGAGGTGAGAAGAGTCGGAGGGGTCTCTCTCTTCGGCTGGGGAGAAGAAGGGAAGGGCTGGGGCCACGAGCTGCACAAACAGAACCGGCAACGCCTAGCTAGAACTGCGTGGCGGATCACACCTCTCTTTGAAAGAGTAGGAGTGGTGGCCTTGGCACGGAACAAAACTCGCGTGCCAAGTGGGTGGTGGCAGCTGTCATTGACCACATTTCTTGTAAATTCCTCGTAAAATGTCGGTAAACTGGGCGTGCTGGGCCGTAAACTATACACGTGCTCTGCAGAAAATGAGGCAGGGCTGCCCGCGAATGGAGATCGGGAACGGAACGCGGTACGTAGTGCATGGGCGTGGCTGCCTTGTGCATCTCTCCTTGCTCTCTATCCCTTGCCTTCTCTTTCTAACATTGCCGGAGCCATTTGAACACATGCTAAGCCAAAACCTACACTTACTGGCGCACTCTCTCCTTTGTTTCACGATAAGTAAAAAAGATGAGCGCGTGAATAAACGGTGAGGCCATGATTATATCATGAATATCATGAATATGCAACCGCCAGCTTGTGAATCTCTTATCTCTGTAGTGACCGTATTCACACGATTCCTAGGTGCGGTGATAAAAACCCACATTTCTTGAGGCAGCCGTACAGATCATGCTTTGACACCCTGGTAACATCCTGGGCTCAGTTCCTTTGCTAATTCTCACTCTCCACCACATGCATATCCATATGATAGCTAGCCCTGCCCCCTCTACACCTTTCTCAATGCCACACATGTCCAGTGAGGACTGTATATACAGATCCACACACTATGGTGAGGGTTGGGAGTGAGAGTAGCTTCTCTATTTGAGACCCGCAACGAGGTAGCAGCACCATACATAGTTTTAGCCCCCTGCACGGTTCACACTCTATACATTTGATACTCTATTGCTTGACCACTTTGTCCGCAAATGAGTCTTGCCAACAGTGCACTGATGAACAGGCAATCATATGCGATTATACCGCCATCTAATTCTGTTTGGCAAATGGAGTCTCACATTATACACAGACACACTGTTGAATGGGCAGATGTGTATAGCAATACACAAAGCACATTGGACTACATGATACTATATGCCTATAGCGGCATGGAAGAGTCTGAGGCTAACCATACTATAAGTGATTCACACGCTGGCATGCCAAAAGGCTTACTTATCAACAGACTACATTCCTCCCACTGATTGCCTGATTACTAGTGGGCAGGGGCTCACCAGACAACCACTCCAATACTATACCACACTGTGTAAGGCACTATACATAGGCAGTGCACCCCTGTCTAGACCCATTGTGCACAAGTCAATCGGGTTATACAAAAAGGTTGGGAGTATAAGATGCATGTCACATACCAGCAGCCTCTATCAGATATTAGTGGTGGACTGTCAGAAGTACATATAATTATACATTGTGGCATTGTGTCCCCCATAGGGTGGCTTCAACAAGGAGGCATTGGCTGACACAGAAGCGGCAATTAGATTCCAATCATGCTTTGGCCGAAATAGGCCCTACACACCGATGTCGCAATAAAGGGTGGGGCTGGCCACCACACAGCACAGTGCGGCTGATGTAGTGGGGAGCACTCGGTTTTTACATAGTTCCCGTACCACATAACAACATCTTCTGAACCTCTGTTTACAACTTGGAGTGCCTTTAAGCCGGAGCCCCCTCAGCTAATACATTTCAACTATACGCTATACACAACACGACCTTTATTGTGACTATATGTATACACTAGGAAGCCTCATAGACCAGGAAAATCTCCCCCACACTCTACAATACATACAGTGGCGGTAAATTTATTATAGGCCACGTACTATATACACACATTTCTGTCTAGGCCCAAACATGGAAAGATACAGCCATGCAGCGGAATAAGTGTAGGTGGGGCTCACAATGCAGCAGAGCTACAAGTGCAAATTGCCTACATAGACGATCATCCAACAGTAACCACACCCCACCCCACACACACACACACACAGGCACACATACAAGACTTGTATAATGTGAATGAACATACAAGAAAGCATTATATATAGCTAAAGAACAAATACACAAACGCACCAGTCAATATAATATTATGCCAAAGTATGTATATACGTAATTGTTGGATATCCCTAGGCAACTGACATGTATGAAGGCAAGCTAGGTACTGGGGGATTGTATCAGCCTATAGAATCCTACATGTGCAAGCAGGGTTCATACATGTCATTTGCCTAGGGATATCCAACAAATGTTGCAGTACCCAGACAGGACAGCATTCGCTCTTACAGGGCTCACTGCAACATATACATTATTATAGTGTACCTAAGTGCATGCAAGAATACAGGCTGTGTTAGCATGTGTTAGCATGCATTACAGAACAGAGAGTAGTGTGGTAAAGTCCGGATTTGTACTCTTCCTTTGGAGTGCATAATTGGGCTGTGATTGGGTCACAACATTGTAATTTTTAAGGAAATGTCCAAATTGTATATACAGGGCGGCAATACTTATGTTAGATTCAGTCCAGTGCTCTAATTCAAGAATATCACATGGCGCTAGAACTGTCTTACACCTGCACTGGCACGACATGTACTCTACTATTACTCAACAAGAAAGAAACAATATAAAGTTAAACATAGCCATACAAACTGAGCGTCTGAGCAAAGAGCCAGTTCTCTCTATTCATCAACCAGTCAGTACAGCTCCCACTGGAAAAAAATACACCATGTTACAAATACCCAGTACAACAGCACGGGATGCATCTACATACATATTATACATATACATAGCAGATGCATATGTATGGTGTAGTACTATAGGTCGTAGTGTGTGCATGCATCGCCTACTGGAAAACGTCTGTTGATGTGCACACAGGTGTTCGTGTAAGTGTGCTAATGTCACATACGCACATGTGTGACATGTGTGACATACTGATGTATGTACACATAAAGGGCCTCTTTCTGCTGTAGCCCTAACAGCTAAATGGCATAACCCACACACTACACATGTATATACACGTACACGTAGATTGAGCCGTAATCAGGGCGGTATGCGTACACTGCAGCACACGATGTGGTAAATGTTTTGCTTGCTGGTTCTGCCACAAACAACATGTTTTACAGTCCCACCAACTATCTCTTGTTAAAAACAAATCACAATAATAACAGTTTACCTGTATATTATATATCTGCCAGGCAGGACTAAGCTTGTGAGTATGACCTGACCACCATTTTTCTCTCTTTCTCTCTCTCCTTCCCAAAGAAAAAATTTGGCCCAATTAAACTTCACCTAACTGCGTTTCCCAGGTAATTTGTGTCATAACAACAGTTATGTAAGCACATAAGCGCTGGCACGGATAGCTTTCTTCCCTGGGTTACTAAATATCCACACATCTCGCTCCTGATCTCTCATGCCTGGTATATAGACTGAAAGAATGGTGAAGAGCGCATAATCAGAAAGAAAGGTAGAAAGATAGAAAGGAAAGAATCAGCTCTACCAGATTTTTTTTGGGAACCTAGTGTTCTGGGATTATTGCAGCGCACACCCTCAATAATGGCACAGTGGGAAGGAACACAGTTTCCAGCCACCAGAGTGTAACCTCCTAGATCTCAGGACACTGCACCATTTTCTCCTCTTTCCTCCAACAATAATACTCTCACTGTTAGATAGCAACATAATAGTACACAGACGTTTGAAGCTAACTAACTATAACACAATTTGCTCACAACAACACCCACACCATAAACAGCCACACCCACACCATAAACAGCCAGCACTACAGCATAAACAGCCAGCACTACAGCATAATTCAATACAAACAACATACATAAGTGGAAAAAAATCATCGCTATCTTCGGCCAGGCAACTTGCAGCAAAAGTTGCCATAAGTACAGCAAAACGACTTAGCACTGTTTGTACGAACATGGAGCAATTTTGTTGCTTGCACTCGTCATTAGACTACAACTACCAGAAGTTTTGGTTGCGAGGCTACGGCAAACGATAGCTATAATTATCACAGGGTAGCCCTCGGACTCCCTAGCAGTACGTACGTGTGTATATCAAGAACAGAGCTACATATGTATGTACATAAAAGTGACCTGTACACTAGGCTGAAAGGTGGGAGGAGGTGGAGGATGAGATTATGCAACTCTCAAACAGTGAAGGGAGTATATAGCTGGACACATGTCCTGCCTATATATGTAGTATGTATGTACGTATGTACATATGTATCTATGTACATATACATATGTATCTATAATGTACAGTATGTATGCTAGAGTATGCAGCAGGTTAATGGGTTTTTGTGTGTACACTGACAGCAAGAGCTCTGTGTACATAGCTACACTCTCTCTCGCCCTCTTGTGAGTCTAAGAAGAGCTACATCACTATTATCTTCGCTACGTAAACCAAACAGTCTGCATCAGATGGATATATACTACACACCCCTCGCTTTTTAAATTCTGCTCTATCGACTGGATACACACACACACCTATTGCTGAGACTGTTTGTGTAGTTGTGGTATAATGAAAACAACACTGCAGTGTGCATTTTTATCGCTCAGGTGCCAATTTGATCGCTACGTCTGCATATAATATACAAAAAAGAGTATGCAGGAAGACGAACCAGCAATTAAGTAAGGAATGGTATGAAATCAAACATAGCAATGAAAAAAAAGATATTTTCCAAAGAGAATACCTGACGTGGGTGGGACCAGAATCTATGACATCTCTCTGCATTGTGTGTGCATGTGCAGAGAAAGCTAACCGAGACGTATGCACGAACATGCACATGCGGCGGAATTTTAATAAAATGGTTCTGCCCAGAATAGTACAGAAGCTACTTCTACTCATAGTTTCGGATGTTCTGTCTTGTATCCAGACTCTGCCATCAAGGGTCTGAAGTGCAATCTTCTTGGTTGTGCTGAATCAGTGTCCTTGTGATCATTACATAACCACACACTTGGATTCGCACTAAGAACTTGTATGTCTCGTAAATAATGCAAAAAAAGTGGAGATGCTGGGTCTTGAACCCAGGACCTCCTGCATGCAAAGCAGGCGCTCTACCACTGAGCTACATCCCCTCCTCACACCAGCAGCGACTTAAAATGAAACTGTACTACATCCCCTTGCCACACCACAACATTTTACCTCATTTTCTTCTTCGGGCTACGTAGGATACATTTCAACCCAGGCCCCCTCCTTCATGGAAAGTAGGCGCTCTACCACTGAGCTACATCCCCTTGCCACATCATAATTTTACCTCTTCAGGCTACGTAGGATACATTTCAACCCAGGCCCCCTCCTTCATGGAAAGTAGGACGTGACAAATGAGCAACAGTCCACCTTTGTGCTTTACTTCTGGGTCGGTCACACAGCATCAATTCTTGGCAATATTAATAACGATTCTTATCAATACTGTAAGGCCTTTGATGTATTATATATAAAATGGTGGCACCTAATATACCGACACAAAATACAATAAGAGAGATAACAGGTCGAAAATAAAAAGTGGAGATGCAGGGTTTCGAACCCAGGACCTCCTGCATGCAAAGCAGGCGCTCTACCACTGAGCTACATCCCCTCTTGGTCACTGGGTGGCGTAGGAAACGTGCTTCGTTTTTGTGCTCCTCATAGTGGCGTAGGGTGTGCATGGAAGTTTCCCGGTTCGCACACGGCAAGAAGAATATGACAGCCTCCGCATGCACATACAATATATAACCCCCCCCCCTTATTTAAACATCTTTCAAAGCTACTGCACTGCTTTGAAGCTGTTATCTCCTGTGAAGAGCCATATCGCATTCCACTACAGAGGCTAATGGAATGAATACACAGGTGTTGTGTCAGGGCAGACGAGCTGTCTCAAGTTTTGACAATGTCAGCCTTGTTCTGTGTTGCCAAGTGTGTCAGGTGCATTATTAGAGGAATTGCTACTTTCAAAGGCAGTTGCTATGCTACTTTACTGTCCCTTCAGTGAACAGAGTCTGTTTGTCCAACTGTGTTCTGTGTCAGTGTGAACTGAAATTGAACACTCAACTGGGCACTCTTCCCCTCTGCAAAGATGTGCTCGGTTCACTGGTTTTTCTGCATTTGTGTGACGGGCATTTCGAAGACCTGGGAGTGTGGATCCAAAACTGGTGAGCAAGTAATTTGAATAGACTTACTATATATTATAGCATTGTGAAAAAGCTCGTCCTATATAAGCCGATGGCAATGGTTCTAACGTGCTTGCTGCAGATCCTTGTGTCAGCAAAAGAAACATTACACCGCATGACTGCGTGCTGGGCGATCGGGAGTCCAGAACCTTCAGCCTGATTCCCTTCTCTTTGGTCTAATGTAAGGCATATACGTACCCATCAGTAACTAGCCTTATTCCATTTAACTTCATCTCTGCCTCTTTGGCAGTAGCAATTACTGGTGCTATATTATATAGGGACTCCTTAACATAAGAACACTGTGAGTATATAACAATGTCCAAGATGGGTCTATTCCAAATGAAAATCAACAGGTCACGGTGACCAGTAAGCGCAATAAATAAAAATCAATGTGCATAAATACGATATACTACACAGTGGGTATATAGCTACGAATGAGGAAAAAACACTGATCAGTGATGTAAACTAAAGAATGCAACAAGTAAAACCACACAGCGGGGAAAAATCAGTGATACAAAAACTAGCATTAACGTCAGGGCATGGTGACCACAACTTTCCCCCTAGTGTGTCCTTCTTCGACGTGCTGATGGGCAGCAACTATCTCGTCAAGACCGTACACCGCATCAATGACTGGTTTAATCTCCCCTCTATCAACCATCTCCGAGACAACTTGGAGAATCTTCCCACTGGGATTGGCAGTCGAGTAATAGAACCCTCGCCCACCCAAAATCCTGTTGGTTATGATCTTGAAGCGATAGAACCACGAGTACGCAATGGCACCCAGAATTGGTGGAAACTTGGAGAGAAATGTGACTTTGGGGGTGACTATTGTAACATAGCTGGCGCCATCATACATTTTGAGCACTTTAAGTGAGCGACGCTCGTAGCCAGATCCACCAATGGTGTCTAACACCACATCGTAATATTGGATTTCTCGAGTGAAATCACTTGTCAATCACTTTGTCAGCCCCAAGACTGCGTGCCAAGGATGCATTCTCAGCTGAGCATGTAACAGCAACTGTGGCACCCCAGGCCTTCAGGAGCTGGACAGCGAACGACCCAACACCACCGGTCCCCCCATGAACTAACACTTTCTTCCCACGAGTGTTGGTGCGGCTGAGACCAACATTCTCGACCAGCGCTGAGTAAGCCGTTGCAGCTACAAAAGGAATGGATGCAGCTTCTCTGCGGTTGATGGTCTTTGGCTTAAGAGCAGCTGATTCTGCAGACGCGACAGCGAACTGAGCGTATGTCCCTCCCGAAAACCCACTCAGCGCATAGACCTCATCCCCCGAAACAAACTTTGTAACGTTGTCGCCCACTGCAACGACTTCTCCTGAACAATCACGACCGAGGAGAATGGGGAACATGGAAGTCCCCTTTAAACGAGCTACTCTGTTCAAAAGTGAGGCAATGTAGCCTCTGTGAATTTTTACATCGATTGGATTAACTGAAACAGCGCGAACACGTATCAAAAATGTCGTTCTCGCCAAACTTTTGGGTATACCTAGAATCGACTTGAAACACGTCCTCAGCATTGCCAAAGCCCTTTATCAGGGCAGCCTTGTGTCGGCTTGTACTTTCTTCCGTGATCTGTGGTGTGGTTTTGCGTCGTCGCAAGAACCAAAACAACCCCAAACCTACACCCAACGATGCTTTGAAATCGAGGCTGGCGTACTTATGAAGAAGGCTACCGATACCGCTAGCCAAAATAATATCGAGGACAAACGAGGCAGACTGTGAAGTGCTAGTAATCACTGATGTGTTGCCACCACCGGCAGTTCGAGCCATTGACATTGCATAACGCCGTGTAAGGTCGCACACTGGTTTGCGTTCAACCTCATATGACGTTGTGGTGGGCAATCACCTAAAACAATGGAAACAATACGCCTGGCTTCGTGGGCACTTGGCTGTATATCAGAGCGCCAACAGATGACCCCATCAGGTCGAACCAGGAAATACTTGCGATCATAGAGAGCAACAAGCTCTGGAAACTTTTAATATGCGTGAGTTGAAAACGGCACATTACGCTTCTCCAGTTCATGCCTGAGCTGTACGCAGTCGGTCTTCTGCCCACCTATCACCAACAGCACAAAGCCGTTTCCAAAAAGATCTAGGATCGTTTCCTGGTCTGGCAAAGCAACATGTGGGGCACGTTGACCAGGAAATGATGCGGGGACATATTGTTCAGTGGCGATACTGAGATACTGCTTTCCATTAGGATTGTGCTCATGAACAACCACATTAGAATTGAGATACTCTAACCCAAATACATACTTTTGGCCTGCAGCTAGGCTAGAAGAAAACGCAGCGTTTAAAAACTTTCGTAGAATAGAACAAATTATTGAGCTGGAGAGCATGATGCTAGTAATCACTGAAGTGTTGCCACCACCGCCAGTTCGAGCCAATGTCATTGCATAACGCCGTGTAAGGTCGCACACTGGTTTGCGTTCAACCTAGGAGCTGTGGCCCCCATAGCCCTTCAGCACAGCCGCTATCTTCCACGTCAAGTTGAAGACATCGCATATGCCGGTATTCAGCCCCAGACCTGCGGCAGGCGCCCACTGGTGTGCGCTATCACCAGCAAAGAGACAGCGGCAGACACCAAACTCCGTTGTAACTAAGCCATGCATACTGTATGCAGAAACAACGGATACTGTGTGCGCAACCCTTTCGTCTAAAATCATGTCAATGTATCGACCCTGATTACTAACAATATCATTTACTTTCTCATCCGTGGTACCACGTGGTAGGATAATGTGAATCGAAAAATCTCCTGCAACCTTAAGATTAACAAACGCAGCTAAAAAATTTCTTGTTGATCACAACAAAATGCCCAGCCCCTGTAATTTGCTTAAGCCGTTCAAAAAGCTGATTGCTTCTTATCGTCATGCCTACAGCCCGAGCAAAGACAAACTCTCCATAGGTATGAACATCGAGTAGCCTTCGTAGGGGGCTCCTACCCCCATCACAAGCAACGACAAACTTGGCCCGAATCTGCTTCTCTCGCCGATCCTCTCCCTCCCCACTGACTATGGTGAGGGTTGCTCCGTTTGCATCCTGCTCAAGACTTGCAACCTCCCACCCCAAAAGCATGGAGACGTTTTCCTTCCCGTCCAGATGCTCTCTAAGTGCAGGCTCTAACGACGTTTGGGGGCACATAAGAGGTGGGCTTACAGACATTCCTTCCTTGTAAAACATGAATTTGCAACCCGGTTTTTTATCGACTATATCACCCCAGGACGACATTTTATTAAGCATGAGATAGTTGCCATTCAAGAGCTGATTACACATCCCAATTGCTACTTGCTGATCGCGTGGCCAGGCTGCATTCTGGACCACTTTCAAGTCCAATCTGCCGGTAATGCTCAATTGAACGACCAGACAGAAACTGTGCCTTTGCCAGCACCGAAACAGCGGTTTTCTTCTCAACGACTATGGTTTTGATCCCATGATAGTTGAGGGAGGCAGCTGTTGTAAGACCCACGGGACCCCCACCTACCACAACCACCTCCGTCTCCTCCACTGGGGAAAACATCCACCCCACTGCTTGTGTACAGCTTCAAATCAATTCCCTCCTCCCTGCCCAACAGGATTTGTAGGTTGTAGTTCCTGCAAAAGAAAATGACATTAAATCAGCACTGTGCAAAGTGCATCAGGCACATCTGCACGGGGAACTCTTCGTGCATCGGGTAGTAGAGATGCCTGCATGGGTTGAGTATAACACGGCATTCATAGCTATAGATGTGCGCCTTTCTCACGTACATACGAGGATGATACAGCGCAATGCGCAATTTCGCAAGCCTGGCCCATTTGCCAGAATGCTGTCCTGCAAACACATATAACTATAAAACAGTGCCAGCTCTCACCTATTCTTGCCGCTACCCCTTGTCTTGTCAACAACGCCGACCGAATACTCCAACTCTCCGCGCCTTCCTCCGCTCCCTCCGCCGCATGCGTAGTGATGACCGTGACTGCGCATGCTCAATAAACTAATTAGTATGCCAACAATTAATGTCTTTTCCCATTATGTACTTAGCATCCGCATCTACATTGTGACATTGTGTGTAGACTGTAGATGGTCCTCTGTGCTGTCTTTCAACCAGATCATTCACTTCTTCAATCGATGACTTATTTTCTGTCACAGGCTTTGTGGTGGCGAGAAGACTGAGACTGTAGCCACTTCCCATGATATCTAATCTGCAAACAAAGGTAGTTTAGCTGAACTTAGTAAAAGTAGGCCTTCGCCCTCAAGAGCATGCAAATGTTATTTTTACTCCTACGTGTTATCATTCGGAGCATGACGTAGGAGGGAGAAGGCCTAGGTTGAGAATAGGAAAAGGATGAAAAACAGTTACACCTACGATGCAGCGAATTGCACGTAATAGGAACTGCATAAATCCAGTACAATTCACGAAAGAGCTATGAATTAACAGCAGACACAGTCATCAATAAAGCCAGTATAATTTGCAAAGGAGCTAATGACGGCATCAGTCTAACATACCACAGTGTCAATGGAGACTCCGTTCAGCTGTGCCTCACAGAGGGTTTCAGCCAGTGGAGACATCTGTTCACCCACACCTCCTCCTCCTCCGGCTCTCTCCACGAGTTTCACGATGCTCTGGTCCAGCAGCAGTGTGCTGGCCGTCTGACCACTGCTTCCTCCTCGCTCGGCAAACGTGTGGGTGAAGTAGAGGGCACAGTCCACCAGACAACTATATCTCCTGAGCGAATGAGACAGGAAAGCATTCTGGACACTGTGAAAATATGGTGGGCTATACTGGAAACAGGAAGTACAGTATTTGATGAAACAGGGATATCCGTAATGCTGAATCTAAGGTTACTGTAGAGTCCCCCAACTTCAGAATATGCAAGGCATTGCAGACCAAGTGTTGAGGTCCATTTTTGGTGGTTTTCTGGTCCCGGGTGACTGGAGGGTCTCCTCAGGCCCTTGGACACGCATCATTTTCCCGCCTCCTTGCAAATTGCGCTCCAGAAACTTGATGGCCTCCCGAGCAGCATAGTTCCCCCTACCTTTCTTCATGCTATCCAGAGCATCAATAACTAGCGGAGAATAACAAATATTACCCACAAAACCTTTTTCATTATACAGTGAAACCCCTGAATTAGGGACAACCAAAAGGCTTTTTTTATTCCTACATATTATTAGTATAGGGCATAAAAACGTGTCCCTTATACATAGAGAGAGGTGTCCTTTATTCATAGGGTCCTTTTCAAAGCATTAGCCACTTACCCGATTTAGCAATAATGACTATAAATTTCTCTGAGGCTATCATTTTTCTGACAAGATGTAGTCCTGTGCACAGGGACTGAGCATCTGGCAAGAGGTAAGGCGTGAAGACGTTTGCCTCTTGCTGCACACTGGTCTCGACCAAACTATCCACCTCTGCCTATAGATGCATGTGTCAACAATGAGGTAGAAAGGTAAAGGCAAAACCAAACAACTACACACATACACCAAGGACAACTTATGTATATACAGTGCACCAGGAAAAGGCCTGCATAAACCTGCAACTTCATTGCAACTTCAATGTATTGGTACATGAAACATGGAGTCTCATGCCCATATACTTCAGTTGTATGAGACTTTGTACTGTGCATATTGATCTTTACACTGGAAACTAGACGCAATCCATGGATTTTCACTGACCTGAAGTCGTCTTTCGGCCATAGCTTTCATCAGCTTCGACCTGCTCTCTGCAGCCTGCAGAAAATTTGGGATTATAAATATCCCAACTTTTGCAGGAGATAGAATTTCACCTTTTCCTGTCGCTGACTGTGAACAGCTGCTGCTGCTCTCTTCTTCTCTCTGTCCCTCTGCAGAGGTGCCATGAATCTCTCTGCACTCCTGTCCCACTGGAACAGATCTGTTGCCTGCAAAAACACACCATATCAAACCCACTCTCGCGTTACTATGTGACCCCACTGACCTTTGTTCTTGAAACATGTCGGCCAAACTTTTGAAGGACACAGATTCTGTTGCAGGCCTGAACGTACAAAAAGCATAATGCAGCATATATCTGCAACCACTGCAACCACTATTCCTGCACTTTCAAATGTAAAGGTAGGGTAAAATGGCTTTTAGCAACAGGTACAGTGAAACGTCAGAAAAATGACCTTCAAATAAAGGACACCTCTCTATAAAGGACACTTGGTACTAATACATCCGTGTATTATATGACCTCAGCATAGAGGACCCCTCTCAATAAACACTGTTCCCAACGTGTCCCTCATTTACAGAGGTTTCACTGTCTATACTCAATACTACCGTACTTAGTGATACTCAATTCGGTGAGTGACTGACTTGCTCTAAGATGTCAGGAGAAGCAGTGACCTCAAACTGGAGTCTCTGATGAGCGCTAACGAGAGGAGCAAACCCACGCAGTAGAACGTCCTCACGCAGGGCACTTGTCTGACTCCATTCCTTACCAGGAGGAAGAGTGGCTCCTGAACAGAAAGATGTGGGGTATTTACCGAACAAAGACTTTGCAGAGTTGTGTCAATACATAAGGGCTAAATTTAGAAATGTTAAGTTCCGTTTTCAGTTACATTTCTAAATATAGCACTAATATACCACTAAGTCAAACATTGAAAAAGGGGCAATTTGAGGACATCTAAAGTTTCAGTTCATTATTAGGGCAGAACCAAATGTCATTTAATAAGAGGTGTGCTTTATTTGAGGGTATTCGGAGGTTCCACTGTAGTTACATACATACGGAGGCCTGCTGCGATTATTTCTTGAGCTGGCGGAAGAAGGTTGAGCAGAGAAGCCAGTCTTGACCAAAAAGCTAGGGGAGCCCTGTGCAGTGTGTGCAGGAGTGGAAGATGTGTCATTGGGGCCGAACTACGTGCACCAACACACAGAGCATAACGTGCTTGGGACAAAAGTGGCGTGCAGCACAAATGTGTGTGGGTAGCTATGAGGATCTACACACTCCTGACAGAAGTTGGGGTTTTTTCCTGTTGAGATTGTGAAGGTGGTAGTACACAAATATATAGCATAGTAGGCGTCTGTACACAAAAATTCTACTATCTAGCATTTCAATCAAAATTTACACCGCCGTTCCCACTACAAAATCATCACATCCCACTTTTTGTGAGAAGATTGTGTGATCAAGGTCTAAAGCAGGTTGGTAGGTCACGTACTCATGCATACATGTCTCGCACAACAAAAGAGGAACCACTGGGGGTTTGAACCTGTGCACAGACAGTGAGGACTAGAGGGTGTGCGGTGACCCAGTTGGTGAAGATCTTGACTGGCATTAGATACGAGTCCTCGGCTGCCAGACTGCAGGCCAGGTGGAGGGCAGCTTGATGTCTCGTCTGGAGAAGAAGAGTCTGGAGAGGAGAGAGGAGAGGAAGGAACGAAAACACAGATGTGTGGAGAGAGAGAGATGGCAAAAGAAAGTGAAAGGGAGGGCTCATGTACACTCCTACAGGATACAGGATCACACAGAATGGCATGCTTTAATCTTCCGTTTACTCTACTACAAGTGACTTCATATACAGCCTTTTACACCGACAAACAGATCAAAGTAGGAAACACTCTTTACATCCAAGGGACTCAGGCGTAGCCAGCCACTTGCGAAAACAACTGTGAATTTGCTTTCACCTGAAACAAATGATCATCAGCAGTGTCTGTAGCCACAACTTCAGTACTACTTTTCAGCTCCTCCTTGCCACTCTTCCCTGCTGGAGCACTCGCCTGGACACCGCTGAAATTAGCTGCAAGAACAATCTGCCTCTTCCCTCCTATTCTACCCTCCTTCCTCTCCCCCCCTTTCTTCTCCACATTACCTCCATCGCCGCCTCCCACCTGACCACTAGTCCAAGGTCTTGGATCATCTCCTCCAACAACTGCTTGCCTCCCTCCCTCTTCGCCGTCCGAGAGCGACGTTTCACTCAAACTATCAATCCTGTCTATATTCTCCCCCTCGTCCTCCTCTTCTTCCTCCTCCTCCTCCTCCTCCGTTGAGCTGTTGGAGAGGGTGCAGCTGCTAGAGGCACTGCTCTGGGAGGAGTCTGTCTCCTCGCTTCCCTCCTCTTCCTCCTCACTGCTAATCGGAGTCATCTCCCAATCTGGCCTCCTCTGTCTCCGTCGTCTCCTTCGCCTATCAACCAAGCTTCTCCGCTTCCTTCCCTTTTTCTGCGCCGTCTTCTCTGGACGTTCTTCACTCCCCTTTGCACCTTTTCCATGAGTTCTTTCTGCCTCACTTCCACCCTCTGGATGCCTCCCCCTGTTATCTGCAGAGCTTGCACTTTCGCTCCCACTCGCAATCTCTCCACCGCCCCAAACTTGTGACGGACCTATTGCGAGACTGTTCACTGCTTCGTCTATCCCAAGAGACAATAAAGAAGCGCTGTTCACCCTCAACTGCTTTGCTATTCCAGGCGTCTGCTGAGCATATTCGTCCAAAACTTCCCCCGCGAGTCGGTCTAGGAAGATTCTGACCATGTTGTTTTCTTCGCCGGGTTCTTCGTGATCGGGGGGTTGTGTCCAACCCACGTGTCTCACAGGGGTTGAGGAGGTGACGGTTGTGCCTCGTGTGAGGGTGTGAACCGTGTGACGGGTGAGGTGGGTGAGGCGGAGGAAGGAATGGTGGAGGAGGAGGGAGAAGACGGAAACAGCGAAGGACGTGAGGGTTGGCGTCTGTGCAGACCCTAGACAATGACAAGCAGTTGCGTGAGTTACGGAATTGTCTTTAGAAATGCAATAGAGTATTGTTCGTGGTTGAAACCTTAGACTACTATGTACATGAAACATCGTGTGTCATTGTGAGGGGAACGACCGCAAACAATGGACGTATGATACACACAATGCATATGAACCCTTGCATTGCGTATATCTGCCAGTGTTGTATGTTGTATACAGCACCTGCATATGTGTTCAATGAGTACCGTGAATTACGGGGCGTCAACGCTAGACAGGTTCATATCAAGTACACCTAGGACTCCAACCCATGACACTGCTTTTTACAGAAAGAGTGAGCTACGGCAGCTCAGCAGGCAGGGGCTGAGCCATTGATTGTACTAGTCTGATTAGAGTCAAAATGCAATTGCCCACCTTGACTTCTTAGTTGTGTTGATGAGAGGATGCACAGCGCCACGACCTTCAGGAGCAGATCGTGAGGAAGACAGGCCAACTCCTCCACCTTCCTATGATCTCCCTCCTCCTCCTCCTCCTCTCCCCCTTCTCCCCCGCCCCCTGCTGCCCTGCCCGACGACAACACGTGACTCACACACGCAGGTGTCATGTCCTTGAACAGTTGGAGGTCAAAGTTCAGACATTCCTCGAGGTCACTTAGCAACACTTCACAGAAGGAGGTTAGAGAGTTTGGCTGAGGGAGGGACCTGAAGTGTTTTTAACATCAAGGCCTTAATTCAACGCAAACCTACTCACCTGTCTGTATGCATTATGCTGCCATTATGTGGCTTAGACCACCAGATAACAGCAGCGCATGCAGCAATTTGCAAATGAATTTTTAAAAACCTTCCTCTAATGAACAGTGACCGTGCTCCAACTAGAATTATGAATTGGTGATTTTGCCCCCCACCCCTCCCTCCCCCAACCCCCACTTCAAAAATTCTGTAGGCACACTGCTGTTTTGGAGAAGCTACTGCACCATGTGTGTTTGTGGCCTGGTGTATGTCAATTAGCCAATACAGATTCGGTGGTAGGTTTGTGCCACGTGGAAAATCTATACGACCAGCACAGAATACTACATATCTATGATGCTGTTAAAAAGAGCAGCCTCTGCTACCTTTTGTCCTCCTCAGAAGACGACAGCATGTACTGCAGCGTTACAAGGCGGACGAGTAGCAATGACTGTGTTGCCTCCCTGAAAAAGTGGAGGACAGGAAGAAGGAGGGAGGGAGGGAGGAGGAAGAGGAGAAAGGAAGGGGAGGGAGGGGAGGGGAGAGAACAAATTGTTTGAAGAGGAGACATAGGAAACGGGGATAAAAAGGCTGCAATTGAGGTGCATTCAAAACCATAGAGACGGTGTCGTTGGCACCTGATATTGGTTTCCGTGGCTCTGTCCTTGTTCCCTCTCAGAGCTTCGAGTCTCTCCAAAGTCTTCCGGAGAATTCTCTGGAGGTTGACCTCTGCACCCGGGAACGGCTTGGCGGATGACATACTGTGGGGGAACAGGAGAGCAGCTGGTTAGTAGTGCTGTGCAATGATCAACAAAAACATCTCGACGGGAGCGGTTTGCTATTTATCTTTGCCCCCCTCTCTCTCTCCTCTCTCCCTCAAATCAAGACAACTATGACGAGCATTCTTTCCCAGCACTTTCTCGTTCTCTTGCCAGAAATTCAACACTGTAACTTTTGCCAAAGTAACTTCATAGGCCCCACACATGTAACCCGGTAAAAATTTTACACAATGGCTGTTTTTTTTATATAGACAGTACCAAAAAAATTATACACAAAACCGATTGCCTTGAGTTATATAATGTGGTGCAAAATCCGGCCACATATACCCACCAGCTAAAACCACAGCAATAGGGCTCCAAAGACCGGCCCAGGTCTTATCTAAAACCCTGCACCACTGATGTGGACACACTTATCACACAGCAGTTCCACAGATGTGGAGAGCCAGGTATACACAGACCCGGATGAGTCTATCCCATGCCAGCAGGCAGCAGCGGCCCTGAAACTGGTTTATACAGATCCACGGGTTTATCCAGAACTGATCTCTAAGGTCTCCACACACTCCAAGCTTTGAAGATATCACACTGGCTGGATTTGAAGAGGCCAAGTACAACTCAGCCCCCTTCCTTGCTTTCAGAGCCGACTATCAACAGCTTTGAAAAAGACTATCAACCTGGCACCTCTTCCCACCCCCCAACACCACATGTGAAGAGGCCCCATAGTCTCTCCTGCCAGTTTTTATCAGCCACAGATGTGAACCGTTATCTCTGGCTAGCTAGCTCCTTGGCCAGACTAAAACCCTTTGACTTCTCTTCCAAGTATTTACATTAACCCGTGAAAGGGTGGTTATCTCCCACCTCCTATAAAAGCCACATATGTGGTGAACTCTACAGCAGACGGTGGCCAAAGCCAGAGAGGCTCAGTTCACTCAACCATGACCCAATGCATAGATGCTCCCAATGATAGTCTGGCTTGTTCTCCTAGGATGACATGCGATAGGCTTGACAGCACAAGGCCCCAGAAAAACACAGCCACCGTCAGTGTAAACAGGCCTTACTATTGTGTGACGCTTCACCACCCACTATAGTAGCCTGCTACATTATACTACCTCACCCAAGGCTTCGCCCATTATCAAAAGTACCCCATTGAAGTTTTCATAATGATAATATACACAAAGTTTTACAACAGTTTCATAATTATAATATGGACTAACGAGAGGTGATGTATATACACGTTATGTACCCAGGTAAGAGGGGATAAACAGGAAGAAGCCTCGTGGCAAGGGAAAGTAAAGCTATGAAGCTTTTCTTCAGACATTGTGTCTGCTTTTATGTTAGAGGCAAACTCCAAGTGGCATTACAAGGAAGTTATACATGGCTATGAATCCCTATAGATCTTCAATCTTCATCCACCCCCCTTCTCTCTTCTCTCTCCCCTTCTTTTTATCTCTTCCTCTCCTCCCTCATCTCTCACCTCCTCCCTCCTCTCATGGCCCACAGCTTCCTAGTACCCTTACATTCACAGTGTTTTGCCCCCCATCCCCTCCTGCTTCTCATCTCCAAAATAAGCCCCCCTCCCCTCCCCTCCACACACACACACACACACACACACACACATACGTGTACACAGATAAATGAGAAATTCCCCGACAAGGTGGCTATATCCCTACATATGCTCACAACAAGCCCAGTCATACCCTACGCAGACAGTTAAACCGGTCTGGGGAAGGAGGAGGAGGGGACACTAAGACAACATGTTGTAACACACACGCCACACTAGGACCAAGATCAACCTATCCTCCCCAACATTCGTGACTACTCAAGCGTGCAGGTTCACTCCCAGATAGCTCCCAGTGGGCCAGATGTCTCTGTACACTTCACTACTGGTATATACGTAGAGGGGATCAGATACCACTGATACGTGTATACACATGGCAAGTAAGTTTTCTGTGGGTCTGCGTTCAAGAGTTTGATGGCGTGAAAAACAAATGAACAAGGCAAATCAGCACTGGCTTACCTCGACTCCTTCAGGTCACAACGTAGGACGTGCATCGAGTCCCGCATGCTACACATGGCCCAGCCCATCAATTAGCGGTATTGTCGAAATGGAGGGAATGACGTCGATAACAAATTTCGTTACTTTAAAATTTCCCGTGTTCAGAGTACATACGTACATATCTATCTATCTATCTATATACCTATGGCTGGTATGCTATGAACTATAATTTCATACATAGTACAGAGTCAAGTGTTGGGAACAGCAGGATCACTAAGTACTTAGTATATAGGGATGGGCATGGTACCTAGCATCATAGATGTATGGGGCTATGATAGGGAGTTTTGTTCATCTTCTTCAACCAGCATAACTCAAAAAACCGAAAGAGATGAATCCATTTAGATTAGACACCTCATAGGTCTCTAAAAACACCCCTGAAATGAGGACACCTCTAGGTCTCTAAGACACCCCTGAAATGAGGACACCTCTCTAAGAACACCCCTGAAATGAGGACAACTCTCTAAGAAAAACACTCTATTCTTTCCTCAAGAACAGTTGCTTGCATACGATTTAGCCACTTAAATAAGGAAACCTCACTCAATACGGACACTTTCTTCTGTTCTATTGGTGTCCATATTGAAGGGGTGTTAGCTACTTTCTGCCACCAAAACATGAAAAGCATACTAACCAGAAGTCACCCTCCACCCCCCATCCTCCACCCAAGTACATACACAGACACAAACAACACAGTTGCACACAAACAAGGTGGGACACCAGGTGCCCAGCCTTGAGAACTGGGGCGGTGGGTTAAAGAGCCTTTTATGGCACGCCTGGCACGCCAACTCTCCCCACATGTATCATCACATGACACACTACGCAATGTATGGAGAACACCAATAGAGGCAGCAGTACAAACCTCAGTCTATCACATGACACACTACGCAATGTATGGAGAACACCAATAGAGGCAGTTACAAACCTCAGTCTGATCACATGACACACTACGCAATGTATGGAGAACACCAATAGAGGCAGCAGTACAAACCTCAGTCTGATCACATGACACACTACGCAATGTATGGAGAACACCAATAGAGGCAGCAGTACAAACCTCAGTCTGATCACATGACACACTACGCAATGTATGGAGAACACCAATAGAGGCAGCAGTACAAACCTCAGTCTGATCACATGACACACTACGCAATGTATGGAGAACACCAATAGAGGCAGCAGTACAAACCTCAGTCTGATCACATGACACACTACGCAATGTATGGAGAACACCAATAGAGGCAGCAGTACAAACCCAGTCTGATCACATGACACACACTACGCAATGTATGGAGAACACCAATAGAGGCAGCAGTACAAACCTCAGTCTGATCACATGACACACTACGCAATGTATGGAGAACACCAATAGAGGCAGCAGTACAAACCTCAGTCTGTAGATGGAATCGTTTTCTGTAAAACTACACCAGTGCCTTTGGCAGCACTGTCACCGTGCAATGGTATATATAGCACAGATGTTACTAATTCAGGCAACTGTGTATTATGTCATAGCTGACAATGGTAAGACAGTGTGTGAATGCACACCAGAAATATATGCATAATATGACATTCCGAGAGAATCAATAAAACATGATAACAGGTGCATAAAACTCCCTCCCTAAAAATAAGAGAGGCATCCTATCTTACCATATGCAAATTTTCAAACTGTCAAAAAATCGTAGTTTATTAGTCATTCGCGGAAGTTTTCTCCATGAAATGTTGTGGGTGGGGGACAGCGGTATTGCGGGACCACCCATCGACCGTTTCTACGAAAATGGCCAAATAATTATGTGTCAGCAGACGGAGTAATTGCCAATACGTCGCATTTGTCACTCTGCCCCACAGAATAACCTAACACACACAGTTTCTGCACCAGAGTTAAAAAATGACGAACGATGTATTACTATAGCGGGATAATTATTTCGAAGGGGGGAAATTGTACATTTTTGTAAATTATAATTTTGTACGTGACATCGCTAAATCACATTGTGCACATTGCCTGTTAAATTGCATACACGGTCCATCAATACGAAGTATCCCGCTACACAGTTGCAGTTACCTCCTGAGGTAGTAATAGACAGCATCCAGACCTTCGTGTTTTTCCCCCGCCAGAGCTGCCAACTGGTTGAATGGGGCACCTGAGTATGATGAGACAATGGCGGATGCAGTGCGTAACTGGCAAAAATATCAAAAGTGATACAGTAGAGCTCAGTTATACGGCGATATCTTAGCGGTTTAAAATGGCAAATACAATCAAAAGCGATAAGTTAAAGCGTTGCGTATAATTATAGCGATATATATTTCTTAGCAGTCAACAGTCCCAGTCTCAGATTGCTTCTGGGGAATTGTAGGGTGTGTCTGGTGGTAAGGGTGAGAGGTATAGATATGTACTACTGGCTGACCCATTGCTCTGGGGTGGTGTGGCAAATGGCCCCCGTGCAATGGCTGCCACATGATTATTGGCGAGCGAAGCGAACCTACCTAGTCGTGGGTATTAAGTGCACATACTGCAACGTTTTATAATACGCGTGCGACAAATTGAACAGCTCGCTTTTCAGTTGCCAAAATGTGTTGCATTCATTCTACATACGTAGTTCAGTAGTATAACTATTCTCCACATCCCGGAACGAAAGCTCACTTATCTCCGCTACGATTCATCCTCAGCATTACCGAAAGGTTCCAGTAAAACAGTTTAGTGTGGCTGTGTTTGGAGATGAAAAGGCAAAAGTGGAGTCTCAGTTGCAATCGAATAGAAAGAGGTTATCCATGAACGCACCTAATGGTAAAATATTTACTCTGGAATTGTGAAAGAAATGACAAAGAGAACAGGTTCAGCGATTGAGCTACGTGCGAGGTAGACAAACTTCTTCCAAGAAACTCAGCGCAATACAAACGGACAGACTAACCTAGGACTCAGTCAATAGTCCAGCAGTGCCAGAGGTTGTGGTGGGAGACCTTTGCCGACCGCTTAAAAATAGAATTTTCTAGGAATATGGCGGCTTTCTTTATAATTGCATTAGCTGGAAGTAAAGGAACTAAAAAGACAGCAAGCCTCAACAAGGTAAACCTACTAAAGGGCCTTGAAAAACAGGGAACAAAAACACAATGGCCTGTGCCGGAATGTTTAAAAATGTTATGGATAATTACTTACACTTACGTACATCTTTGCTGCAATGTATGCAGTAGATTGGCGTCTATTGTACTTGTGTGCATTAGGTGCAAAAGATGCCGAGCCTCAACAGAGTTAAAAAACAATAGGTTGTATTGAGGGGTGCATTGCCTTAACTACTTTGCTGTTAGTAAATGTGCTACTTGCTTCGTGCTTCACGAGCCATGACAAGATCTAGTCTGGCGTAGCCACACCCTCTCATTAAACCACACCACACCCTCTACGCCAGACTAGACGAGATGGATAACTGCATGCGTAAATTACGTTACGATTTTCCGTAGTACACGTTTGCCTTTTCATTGTTTTGTGGGACTCACACTCAGGGTCCTGCCAACTGAGTCGCCTTTCAGTATGTAGCTCAGCAGGACCTCAAATCTCACCCAGGGCAGTTCTTTCGGGAAAAAATTGGTTCTGCGCAAGCAAGTGGTTCTGCGCACACTTCACTTACGATTAGTTCCCCAGTAAAACAAATAATGTCTTTCTAGCTATTGTACCTATAAGATGCCGTGTAGCACATTTTTGGCGGGCAAACGCAGAGTTACACACACGCGCGGCACACGAGTGCATTTGTCTATAACACAACGAATGTGGGACAGTGCCCTCATCAATCGTCGTTGGTGGATATATACATATGGACAACTGCGCATTCAGACGATCGCTTTGCTTGCCTATTGTAACAATATGTACTCTGAAGTATAGTATACAACAGAATATCAGAGAAACCGAATCACAGGGATAGAGTGTACCCATTGATAAACAGACCACTACAGAGACGCTGGGGCATACCAGGCGACCACTGATAGCCCCCCTGCATAGCTTACTCTCTGCACCTCACATTGTGTGCCCACAAGAATCAGAGGACCGAGTGAGGGAAAGAGAGCCCGGGCTTTGAGTACACGGTGAAATTGAGGATGTGGGTTAGTGGAGGGAGTGAACACAACCGTGGGGGGCACATGGGCGACTTCTCCAGTCACACACACACACTACACACATGCACACGGACACATGTACTCACATGCACACATCGACACACACTGACACACTCACAATCATACACACACACATACTGTCATGAACACGGAGACCCGAGGCCCTGGTGTGTATCCGTGTCGGGTGTTGTTAAAGCAGGGAGTTCGATGCAAGAATGGACTTTCATTTCATTCCACGATACCATTGCATCACAACACAAGCAACTTGAAGAGCATGTAAAATCGAGCCTTACTTTTGGAGATGTACAGCAATTCACACAAGACACATTCCTGCAGCAGCTATTAAGCCATAGTAACCCTTGAATATGTATGTTGTTAGGAGCTTGTGACCAAACAGATTGTTCCCTAGTATGCTTGCAAAGACTACACTCCCCACTGCTGAGTACGTACTAACCGTTGGTTGGGTCAAGTGAAATGGCACGGAGATAGTGAGTGGTAGCAGTGTAGGGCTTGCCTCCTACATCCACACTGTAGCGAGCTGCACAATGAAGCAAACACGATGGTTTATAACGAACAACTAGAACACAGATACACACACTGTATAGTAAGACCACTACAAAAGACGAGTACAACTATGTACCGATATCCCCCTCGCTTCCTCCCTCTCCTCCCCCCTTTCTCCCCGAGGGCAGTGTTTGGTGCACACATAGGTCAGTGAGGAGCCACTAGGGCCCACTGTGGGCCTGGTCCTGCAGCCACACACACCACTGATTTCACCAGAAGCCATGCCTACTCTCTCCTCCCCAAACTCCGTTTCCTGCTAGAAATGGCCACACGGCAGTCTAATTTACTTTCCTCCCTCCCTGCCACATCTCCCCGCCATTTGGTTCTTTGGGCAGCTGTTACACACAAACTCTCTTCCCATCAAAACTGGTTTGTTGAAGGTAATGGTCACCTTCTCCTAAATGGAGCTCATTGCTATGCCATAGTACAATGCGAAGATGGTGATGCTAGGCGAGCTGTACCGTGAGCAGATACTGTCCTATCTAGACACGGAAGCAACTGCGGAGGAACTCGAAAAAAGATTTCGACCTGTGGGTCTTCAACAGCATTGAGTAGAAATTCACAAACAGATTAGCTATGACACTTAACTCCCTCGCTGAACTTGGTTTTGTGTAGGTCTTGTCTTTGTTTTTGGTACCGCTCTGCCTATACTATGCAGACAGACGTGGGTTCGAATCCTACCCAGGGCTGCTAAAAGAGTCGTCACAAGTGTATATAGTCGTTTGCTCTGCCTTTTACCTCATTGTTGACAAACACACTGTACCATATACCCAACCAGCACAGAGTGAAGAGTGGTCATAGCCATAAACGTACCACGCACCCACAGCACTGGGCGGGTAGACCGATCAGTATGGGAAAAAAACAAGAACGTACAATAGTAGAGACTTTGTCCACCCTCCCTTTTCCCTTTCCTGCTGCTGTCGCCACTTCCTCTTTCTCTCCCCTCGCCCTCGCCATCTTTGCTGCCCCCCACTCCAAACACACTACCCACTCCCTATTTGCACCCCCCAATTTCAGTTGCAGTGCGGGATACTCTGCTAACGATATTGACTGGGTTGTGTATGGAAACACTGAGTCGGCATAGCTTCTGCACGACTACAGGTGTTAATACTAACACAATAGGAGTTGGAAAGTTTCCTGTAATGGTATATTATGTCAACAAAACCGACTTGTACAGATTTCCCTCCAAAATGCATGTCACGCTGATTTAAATGCAATGCAGCTGTATCAAAGATGATTCTGTTTATAAACAGGGGATGCGTGGTAGCTAGGCAACGTCACGCGCTTGTATGCACACACCACAAACTGGTATCTCAACCGCACCAAACGGAATTCAAACCACATTACTAGGGAATGAATCCAGCTTCTGGGCCCAGTTCCAAGAAGTGGGCGAACAGACAGCTGTGAAATGAGTTGGTGTGAACACCAACGGATGTGAATGATGTCTAGATATTGATAGCTACGTATGTCTGCAGGGTTCTAAGGCTGTCTTGGAGTTGTTAAGTGTGTACACAGAGCATCTGTAATTGCTCAGTAATTTCCTTGCATACCGTAGCACTCCTAGTCCAGTGCGATCGTGGGTAGCTAACGGTTCCTGCGTTGCAGAGATTGGGCTCATGAGAATAAGACTGATATCTTATACAATCAGTCGTGATCTTTTATAGCTAGCTACTGACATATGCTGTGGTGATAACATACAACCCACAGTGGCTAAGAGAACAGTGGACATATTAACCATAACATGACAACAGACACGTTTATGAACAGTTACTTGTGCAGTTGGGCAGACAGTGTGGTAACAATGTGACGTAACATGCCGTGCTCCCATTGTGAGTAATGGCGAAATAAGCCGGCAAAATGTTAGTAAATCACGAAAATCAATCTGCATATGAATTATTCTCTGTGAGAATAGTACGCTGAAGACAGAAAAGGATAGTCAAAGTAGCTAAGAAATTGAGGGCAATGTATAAGTATATGGAGGACAACATTGCGGAGCTCAGGATTTCTTCTACAAGAATAGGCAAGGTAAAAATTCATTGCCTTAATAGACCAGAGACCTAGAGCATAGCTGCTATCACTGAAAGCCTGATATTCCCCTCTGAACCCCATTTCTTGGAGTTGGAGAAATGATGTGGAGTAAGAGCCACCCCAACTAAAATCCTGATTTGCCCCTCTGAGCTCCAGTCGGAGAAGAACAGTGAGGTAAGAGCCACCCCAACTAAAGGCCTGATTTGCCCCTCTGAGCTCCAGTCGGAGAAGAACAGTGAGGTAAGAGCCACCCCAACTAAAGGCCTGCCCCTCTGAGCTCCAGTCGGAGAAGAACAGTGAGGTAAGAGCCACCCCAACTAAAGGCCTGCCCCTCTGAGCTCCAGTCGGAGAAGAACAGTGAGGTAAGAGCCACCCCAACTAAAGGCCTGATTTGCCCCTCTGAGCTCCAGTCGGAGAAGAACAGTGAGGTAAGAGCCACCCCAACTAAAGGCCTGCCCCTCTGAGCTCCAGTCGGAGAAGAACAGTGAGGTAAGAGCCACCCCAACTAAAGGCCTGCCCCTCTGAGCTCCAGTCGGAGAAGAACAGTGAGGTAAGAGCCACCCCAACTAAAGGCCTGCCCCTCTGAGCTCCAGTCGGAGAAGAACAGTGAGGTAAGAGCCACCCCCACAAATGGACCTACTCCAACCACACACATGCCCAGCCTTACTCGGACAGCACCACAAAATGCAATCGCTTATCAGAATGTTTGCACAGTTCCACATCAGGTAACAGGATGTACCACTGGAGTGTCCTGGACACACTCACTTAGCAAGACAAAGCAGGCTCTTGAAGCAGAGTACATCCGTATATACACCTTGCAAGGTAAATACCCCCCTCCATGTGGGCGGTGCACAGAGAGTGTCATCTACTGGATATACTTTTAGTTACTGCTACGTATCTACTTATTATTCATATGTACTTTTAGGTGACCGAAGTACGAGGGCAAAATGACTGCAAGGTTGACTTGCACTTTATTTACTGCCAAGTAATCTCCCCCCACGGTGGGATTCAAAATCACGACACTCTGCACTCTCATCGAATATGACAGGTTTCAGCCCAACAAGTGTGGATCAAACATGGCCGCTCAGGTTGGCTTATCGCCCGAGTCCTAATCACATCGATTTCATTTTCGCCCCACGAAAGTGGACGCACGGTAACAGTGAAACTTACCCATCCCTCAACTGTGAGAACAGTGTGTGCCATTTTTGATGATACACTCCCGAAAGAGAAAGATACTGAACAGACCACCCTTCCTTTCCAGGGTTTGCGTAGCTTTCATTCCTCAGCCCACTGCAAGGAGCCTGTTACACATTTGGTCTGGGGTATGCTGTATATATAAACCACAGAGGAGGGAAATCTTTGAGAGAAAACACTTTGTGGAAAATTTCACATTATCCACAAAATGGCTTCACGGCAGCTGAGGATTTTTGGGACAATATTATACCAGTGCATGTGTACTGTATTAGTGACGGGTGCCATTGCACGGGGTTTGGGGTCTGCATCTGTCTTGTGTTGTACGTAGAGCAGATTTTAAGCCCCAGCCTTCTGAGTTGTCCTGCTACGTACATACGTACGCATGCGGCTCAGTGGTAGAGCACTCTGCTATAGCGAGCAGAGTGTCGTGGGTTGGGAGTCCAACCTAGGACAGCTCTTTCTTCTTGTTGGGTGTCCCACCTAGGACAGCTCTTTCTTCTTGTTGTCCTGGGTGTCCCACCTAGGACAGCTCTTTCTTCTTGTTGTCCTGGGAGTCCCACCTAGGACAGCTCTTTCTTCTTGTTGTCCTGGGAGTCCCCACAGCTCTTCTTTGTTTCCGGGGTCCCCTAGGACAGCTCTTTCTTCTTGTTGTCCTGGGTGTCCCGCCTAGGACAGCTCTTTCTTCTTGTTGTCCTGGGTGTCCCGCCTAGGACAGCTCTTTCTTCTTGTTGTCCTGGGAGTCCCACCTAGGACAGCTCTCTCTTCTTGTTGTCCTGGGTGTCCCGCCTAGGACAGCTCTTTCTTCTTGTTGTCCTGGGAGTCCCACCTAGGACAGCTCTTTCTTCTTGTTGTCCTGGGTGTCCCACCTAGGACAGCTCTTTCTTCTTGTTGTCCTGGGAGTCCCACATAGGACAGCTCTGTTGCCTGGGTCCCAGAGCTTTTCTTGTTGTCCTGGGAGTCCCACATAGGACAGCTCTTTCTTCTTGTTGTCCTGGGTGTCCCACCTAGGACAGCTCTTTCTTCTTGTTGTCCTGGGAGTCCCACATAGGACAGCTCTTTCTTCTTGTAGAACATGTCTCAAGTCCCCCGGAGAGTGTCCCTTCAGAGGACATGAAGCCCGAGATGTAAGTTGGGGATTTACCATACTCTCTATATACCTACTGGCCATGCCGCACCTCTTTCTATTTATGTTATTTTGTTTTTGAGTTACGCGAGTTCAATCTGAAGAAGAAGAAGGAGAATGTCCTGGGTGTTGTTGATTGCACTTGTCCATGTTTACACCCTCTGATTGATACGTACGTACGTACAGTCTTACTACATACAGAGTTTGCAAGGAGCACTGCATCTAGAGGTATGATCTACAAATCAGCATGGCAACAGCAGAATGCTTAACCAACAGGTGTCTATAGAGCCATAAACTCGATAAGGCAGTACTTTCACTGGAAGCCATTCTAATATGGACCCATAATGCAACATTTCGGAGTTACCATGTAACATAATGCACAACGTGGGATAGTTTTTGCTAGCAACCGAACCTAGAGACGCGGGTATGGTGGAATGCAATCTCTCAATTGAACCCCACAGGGGACGTGGATTCCGTTCATTCCGTAGACGTTGAGCCAGCGATCGAGGCATGCCTGCACCCTTACATACCTACCACACTCATTAATTCCCACACAGGTACATACATACTCCTCAGAACTGTACACACTAGGTTTAAAAAGGGTTTGAAGGAGGGGGGCTATCTCGTGC